GTGCAATATTCCCACAACCAGGCAATCAAAAACGGCTTAAATGAAGCAATACTGCTTATGTGAATAAAAGAAGCTTTACTTTCAAGATAAAATTTTGTGCCTTTCAAGTAACCAAGACTTGATTCTGTATGAAGGTGATTCGAATTTTTAACGCGCGACCAGTAAAAATGCCCCATTTTAAGAGACTGCTGACTCGTAAACAAACAAGGTGACCCCATTTTTTATTGCATTTTTTTAATGTTCATATCATGAAATGTTAATTATGCCAAGTTTCAAAAAGTTTGATGGTAGAACAATTTCAAGGGAATTACCTTAAATGTTAAAACATCATAATAACACGAATTCAAAACAAGGGGGCTTTTATCCAGGGGCGGGGGGGAGGGGGGCTTATAACCTGATATATTTTTCGGTTTACAGGTAGATGGGCCTTAAACCGGGGGAGGCTTATAATTTTTACTTAAATTCTGGAATAGACCCCTTTCAGTTAATTCCCAATCTGGAGGACAAAACAGTAAGGTTGTTTTGCATTTGAAAGGTCTGTTTCTCTCAGGGGAGAGAAAAACCATTGTTGTGTCGTCCAGATTGGGAATTACTGAAATGGGTCTATTAAAAGTTTATCTGGAGAGTTCTCCTTTTGCGAGAATCACACATGGTTGAAACCGGCCCGCACGATATAAAGACTTGGTGAGGCCCTAGAAGTGTCAAACACATATTGTCATATTTCTAACACCAATACCACCAATCTACAGATTAGGGTAATTTAATAGCAAGGTTAGACTCGATTACCAGCCGCTGTTTGGGAAAGGAGCCCGCGGACGAATGTAGACCGGAACCGAGAAAGCGACGGAAATTGAGCTTTAAAATCACAAAAGATCGTGAAAATGATAGAGAAGTAAGCCAGATTGGCGGCTGAGTTTCTAATAGAACACGGCGGTTGCCTCACGAAAGATATACATAGTGTAATCTATTGTAGACATGTTAAGTAATGTCTTTAATGGTGTTGAAAATTACCTTCACAGGTAGTCTCATATCTAAGGTCGTCAAAGGTGATGTAGCCCCAGTTTCCCGCACTCTGATCCACTAGTTTGACCCGTGCAATTCTTCCAACCCAGTTTTGAAGATCAACCTTTGTTCTTTGCATCTGTGATTTACAATTTCCACTTCTCAAAACAACAGCACTTCCATTAACCAAGATTTCCATGCGAACTTTGTGATTGTCAAAGCAACCCCCTGGAACCAGAGAAAAAGAAACGTTTTTTAATATAAATGGTGTGTAGACTGTCTAGTTTTTTCCCTGAGAAGATCGATCCAGTGCTTACATGCATGTTTACATACTCATAGTCGATAATTTGGCTAAAACGAGATACTCAGAGGATGCTTTCAATTCGACTTGAGAGGAATATCCTGGGAAAGTTTCCAGAAAATTCAAGAATTGTTGAATTTTCCGAAATTTGAATCATTCATCCGAAAATTCCGGCACCTCCAGGAGCAAAGTCAAATGAACCGGAAACTTTTGGTGAGAAATTGTCTCGCGAGCTGAGGTTGTTGCCATTGACTTCCATTAGGTCTGATAAAGATATTCCATGAAGGTTTTACCACCTGACTGGTCTGATAAATTGCGTTTATAAACGTTTTATTAGATGTAGAAATAGCATCAACTCGGAGAAAATCAACTCGGAGAAAATCCGAGTTCCAGATGGGATTTGAATCCACGACCTTCCGTGCTCTAACCTCTGATCAACAGGAGACTCGTTTTGCTGCTTAATTTTTGTGTATGGTTGGTGTGGCCACCTAACAGAACTTCTTACCACCAATCAAAAACGACAACGTTGCACTTCTGATGACAAAGGGTGGTGACGTCATAGTTCCCGTTGCTTGCACACCAAGGGAGACACTTTGCCTTTGACACGGCGTGGTTACATTTCTATGAGAGTCAATCAGCCAGTTTCCTTGGTGACCAGTATTCGAAGACGCTCCAAATATGGGCTGATGAGCGAACGCACTGCCTTGTTTGATGTCGAGTCGATCGTATTTAGATGGCGCGATCAAATATTTACCCTACACAGATTCGGTCAAAAATGTGGCCATTTCAGATTCGGTCAAAAATGTGGCCATTTCAGGTCAGTGGGGCGTTTAGAGCCAGTCTCGTCTCTTTTTTTCTTTTTTATCTCAACAGTGATTTAGTTACATTTATTTCCTATTTTCTTTTCTCTTTTACATCTGCGGTAATGGGTAAATCCCTTTACAGATTGCACGTAGGCATTTGGCAATTTTATCTGATGACTGCTGCACACTGGTTGTGTAGTACGAGACTAAATAATAATAAAAAGCCAAGTCAAATCTCAATACAGTTGAACAGTTCGTCATCCAATATAGATGTAGGCATAGATGTAAATAGCAGGAACTTCCAGTTTCACTGAGTACTACCATAAGGAACCTTGGCGGCTAACTCGAATCAATTATTCCTTGTTAACTTGGCTCGAGTGGACAGAGGGAACTAAGGAAAATTCCACTTCTCTCTAATTGAAGTTTATAGCTAGAACATGGTTTTTGAGAACAAACTTACAGAAGTGATGAGTTTTTTCAAAATTTCATTATTTTCAGCTGCAACTCCTGCGATTTTATTAAACGAGTCTGCTATATTCATTTATTTTTTTAAATAAAATTAATTTTAAATTTTAAGGATGCCAATCGAACTAACGCCCTTGTATAATGACTTCCGAGTTAAATTTTTGTTTCTCGAAATGAAGCTTGCAAAATCAAAGAAAGCAAGGATAGTTAGATAAATTCTGTTGTGACAATGTTGAGCTTAACACGATATCAATTTACGATTAATTGACGCCTTGAAAATGTTCGACAGCTACATCTCCAAGTTTTTGATTGGAGAACGAATAATATGAGATTTGTTGACTTAAAAACCCCTAGAATTGTCTTATCATCGTCATTAATTAACAGGTCATTAATTTCAAAATGGTTGCGAAATCAAATGATCTCTGTTTGAATAGGATCTTGCAAGTTCTACCAGAGAAAAGTTCAAGTAAAGGTCAGAAAATTCATGAGCACTTACAACACTTGTTTTACAATAGAATGCACGTCTTGTGGTGATAAAAGGGACGTTCTCGATACAATGCTTAGGACATTACAGAACTCACATATCACCCTCTTATTCACTCACTTTTAGACGGATCATCGCTTAAAGCACCGGCAGCACAAATGTTTTGGAGCAACAGAATGCCATAAAGCACAAAACTGGAGAAAAAGATTGAACACATCTTAAACGCCATACTTCGGGCTTCGGTGCCGTGTGTGAGACCCTTTGATTAAACTGGGAAGAGATTATGTCCAATAAACAGGATGACACATTTCATCTGATTTTAATGTTGATTTTCCAGTGTCATATGTCACTCATTAAGAAGTCTTTAGCTTGTTTTCTAGGCATTGTTTACAGTGCTCTTGAATAGGTTTTCACGTCAATTGAGGCGTTCCGGAAAGACGCCAATTTTCATTCAAATTCAAGAGGTTTAATTAATTTTGGCGACACACAGTTTCACGGCATTGAAGTTATTGTCCGCGATTTTTGTTATGCCACACGAGGGAGGTAGATAACGTAAGTATTTACTATTCAAATGTCGAGAAAAACAGCCAAGCAAAAGTATGAAAACAGACCAGCTTTTTAAACATTTCTGGGTAGGAATCACTCAATGTCTTAGAGACGGAAATACCTGTTGTATATTATAAAAGCAAAATATTAGCAGATGTAGATCTTAACAATTGAACGAATTCGAAAAGGACCTCAAGGTAATTTAAAAATAGCAAAGCCGGCGACAATTTTTCAACAAAATATGCTCGACTAATTTTCGAAGATGTTAATTGTGCAATTTACGAACTTGGCTCCAGACAACAGGCAGAAGTGTCTTTTAACATCTTGGGACTACATCGATCGCGATTTCGTTTTTGTTAGTTTTTTGGATACCATTTTTTTTAAATTCACATTTTTCTTTCCATTAAAGTCATTTCAACAGAATTTAATGAATAATTGCAAAACGTCAACATATCGGTTTTCTCTTGGTCAAATGAACATAAAATAAACTAATTTAAAATTTGAACAATATTGTCGATAAAATCTGTGTACAAGCAAAGCTAAACGTTGTAAAATTACGGAGATAACTGACACTCGGCTTCTATACGAAATTGGGAATGAGTTGAAGGAAGAAATCTAAGGAAATCTTCTAGAAACCTGAATAGGATTTTAATGATAACTGCTTTTTGATTATACTAACAATCATCATTGATCTTTTTTCCAAAATTATTTTAAAATGTCTATGGAACATTCTCGAAGAGGTTATCAATAAAAATGTTCAAAATAATAATGCTTTGTTTACAAAACATGCTTTGTACGTAGACTAATTACTCATGAAAGGTCGGATTTCATTCAAATAGGGATGCCTTTTTTTACTTTTCAATATTAATACATCAGTTTTATGAAAGTAGCCTACTTAGATCTTTTAGCTCTGTTATATTTCATAGAACTAAGCTTACCTTCTCTGCAAAAACAACTAATGGCTAACTTAGTATTTTTTTGACCAATTTAACTTCACAATTGATTCATGGTTTTGCGTGTATCATTAAGTACTTAATGACTGGCCCCAAGGGAAACAGTGAGTTTTGTCTCCCCGGGACCTTCAATGCTCCCCGAAGCGAAGCCGAGGGTAACATTGAGGTCGAGGGGAAACAAAACTCTCTGTTTGCCGTGGGACCAATCATCTACAATTGAGCTGGGAGATATAACAAACACTTAAAAGTGTTTGGTCATATCCCCCAGCTCAAATGTAGGAAAAACTGCAAAAAAATTATTTGCTTGACGCCGGCTGGCTCTCAAATTTGCCGCGGTTTCAAGGTGCACGGCCTGATCACGTGCGAATCTAAAGTTCAAGTTGTTGTTTCCTTAGGGACTTAGTGCGTTTTTTTTCGCCCTTAGGAGTTAGCGAGTTTTGATCCACGACACGTGACACGTTCTCCTCCAATCGGAAAACGTATTTCAGTTGCGGGAGGTATAACAATGAGGTTTGATGCACGCAGGAAGTTTCGAGAGCACGAAAGAAGCGTAACTGTTACCCGACGCGCAGCCGAGAGCGACCCTAGCTTCTTGAGTGCTCTCCAAACTTCCAAAGTCCATCCTTACTCGATGATACACAGCTAAGAGAATGAAGATTAATTTTTGCCTTGACGGGAAATAAACTTTGAAACCGCGACAGTAACGGTCACGAGAACATCGCTAAACGAATGGTTTATTTAGTAGAACAATGGCTGTGCACGTACGTTATAAACTTTGTACATTTCTTTGCCGTCTTCTGTAAAGCAACAACGGAAAACGACTAAGCCAATCATGTAATGGGTTGATGCAAATTCAATTAATTTTCGACATTCAAATGAAGACCTCTCTAAGTTAAGTTAAATTACTTTAGTATTGTTCCGTAAGAGGCATTTCATAATTTCGGTAAGAGGTCAAGTTGTCAAGAGTTCAAGTTCCTAAAACAGCAGAAAGAAGAAAACTTGACATGTTGGACAACCACAAAAAGATTTCTGGGAACTTTAATTTTCAAAAATGTCAAGGGTTGGAAAGATTCATTCTATATGCATTTTGACCCTCCCCACCCCTGTGCAATGTTGACAAAACACTTTCATCTAACCCAAGTTTTCATTTTACCATTTCCCAACATTGAAAGAGGGAATGTGGGGTGCTGACACTTATTCTCTAGGTATTACGGTAATGATTTCATGTTTCTGCGCATATTCCAACACAATTTGTCCATGGTTGTAGTGGCTGCAAGTCTTTCATTTGCTCTCCTTTTCCGATTATTTAATTGTCTCTACTTGTGAATAAAACACGTCGTTTTCTCCCCAAGTGATATATTATTTTTGTGCACACTGGCATCGTTTTTTCAGCCTTGTACGTTGACGATCGGGCAAATGCAGGATTCATGGAATATAAAATGTCAAACATTTCCACCAGAATAAACAAGGCGAGTTCGAAAAAAACGAAAGATGATATCCTTCAAATGACTGCAAATTTCAAACAGCAGTCTTGAAACTAAATTAGCATGGAAAGTAACAAACATTACCGACCCCAAAATCTTCCCGGTTTAGCGGGTGACTTGCTTGCAAAAAAATCTTTTGGTTCTGAGCTATCTGGCGTCAAGTGGCGTTTTTTATGGAGTATTAAAATACTCCATACATTTGACTAGAATTTTATAAGAGAACGTGTACACAACTTACGAGTCCGCGTCACTTTGCGGACAAAATTTTAGACTAATGTATGGAAAATTAATAAGCGACTAGACACTTTTTCTAGCATAGCTACATCCCTTATTTATTTTGTTAATGGAGTCTCTTGTCTAGTGCAGGGTATCTAAATTTTGCCATTCAAAAATTGCTCAGAATTCGACTTTCAAGAAAATTATTTGCCATCAGATTCCTATACAAACACTGTAATTTCTGACACGTGTTTCCTCTCCGTCAAGATCGCGTCCAAAATTTGAGATAAGGTCTACGTAGCTGGTACCTGCCCAAAGTTGGCACACGTGGTAATAAGACATGGAAAATTATTTTGAAAGTTATGAAATTAGACATTTTTGAAGTAATTCTTTTTTGGTTCAAGAAAATTACGCTCCGTTTTGAGAATTTGTGCCGGCTCCAGCTGCAGAAAAGTGCCAGAGGCTTACGACATTTCTTAATTGTAGCTTTGGTACTCGCTGAAACGGTCAATCGGCCACACAACAACAACAAAATCGACGGTTTTCTTAAATTCGCGTAATTATTAAGTTATCTATAAATTAATTATTAATTGTTCGCTGAACGGTATTTGTGCCAAAATTAAATGTTTTTTCAGTTTGTTTTAAGTCCTAACCTAGCCGTAAGATGTTGCAAGATGTTGCATGGTGCAGATGGCCATGCAAGAGTGTGCAACTTACTTGTACAACACTGTTGCGTGCTCTTAGTGTTCCCGCGCATGCGCTTGATCGCTGTAGATAAAAACATGCCATTAATTCCCTGTGCTATCTGTGTCGGAGATATCAAGGTTTGGGTTAAAAACAGGACCTTTAATTTGCTTTGAAAATAAACGTAGTTAAAAGCTTGCCGAAGACAAAAGCATCCTTCTTTTGTCGCAAAACGACTTCTTGCTATACCTTTAGGATAGCGGCACAATTTATCAAACGTTTATCTGTTATCGTGCGAGACGGGCCAAATGAAAATTTCTTAATCCTATTCAAGGTCAATACCAATTTAAAAATCAGACGGCAGGGCATGAAACGCGCCTAATAACACTGTGGGTCTCCGCTTATAACTTCCTGAAACAAAACGGTTTACCGCTTCTAATAAAACATGTAATGAAATAACGAAATGTGGTCTCCGGGCTTAGTGAACTGTACGTAATAATGACATGAATTACATATATACTTGTAGATGAACCTTGGTTTTACATGTCCTTATTCTGATCATGATAAACGTAAATTTTGT